AATGATGGAATTTAACGAAACCCGGGTTCATAACGTTTCGAAGTTCTCGTCGATTTTAATTCGGAAGCACTTCAGCGGATTTCGCATTTGATCACCGTCAGGATATTAAAAGAGGTGGAAAGGTACGTCTGATGAAAATGCTCCAGGCAGTCTGTCAGTTAGTCCTATAAAAAGATGGACGAGTTCTCTGCTTTTCTGTTTTCCAGAGATTCTTTCTTCCACACGGTACGTTCGCGAATTAGTTTCTCCATGTTATTCGTGGAAATTCTGAGAACTTTTTGAATTATAAAAATTATGGAAGGTAACCAAGTGCTTGTCAAATATTTGTCGAGGACACGATGAAATTTAATTTTCTGTTAAGAGTGATATTCATGTTAAGCGATATTCATAGGAGACATTTATGTTATTGTGTAATTTTATTCTTTTTGATATATACTTATTAAAATAACTTGTCAATATACTGCAATAAAAGAGATTTACATACTGTAACGCTGAAGAAAATAGTTTTGAATAAATACATACATTAGTACATACATACATTAAATAATGAGTACGTTCATACATTAAAAGATCTGTAAGCAAAGACTAAAACAGAAGATCTGAACATTTGAAAATTTGAAAATCAACATAAAAAATTAATGTAACAATCTAAATGTTAACTATAATCGTTTGAAAACATTTTCCTGAAAAAAATGTAGAACGACAGAATTTTTATTTACGAGATAAACGTAAAAATTTGTCAGGTAGAATCATTGACGGTTTGAGCTTCTGAAGTAATGGCATGTACATGACGTTTTGAGTCATCGATCGGTTGTACCCGTACAGTAGAAAAATATGGCCCAAAGGTATTTGCATCGCGTGCAGACAGATGCTGCCTTCGCACGCGGTACACTTTGACATGCATCGGATTCGCGTAGAAAATAAATAAAATAGCGAATCGAGGGAGACCCAGTCAATAACTCCGATCACGCACGTCCATCAGTTTCCTCCGTGATACATATTGCGATCATAGTTTCGGTCGTTGACGAAACAAAACGAAAACGCTCGCAACATCAAGAGAAATACGTAGATATTCTCGACAGCAAACTAAATAACACGATCTGGTAACTAAATCCGTATCGTCTCGTGGCTACGAATACTCGTATTTCCTGGCTTTTAGATCACAATTCGATACAGAATTTCTCTGATATAACGGTAACTTTATTCGTCGACGTCAAACCAGTTAGTCACAAATTACTTGCCACAAAACTCAGGACATTAGTTTTACTGAATTTTGGAAATATTGTAAAAAAGTTATTGTATTAAAAATGTATAAATCTTCTGTCTTTTTGTTACTAATTTTTGTATTCCATATAAATCCTCCATTTAAGTTCTCCACTTAATTCTCAAATTTTTGTGACACTCTGTATATTACGCTACATAAATCTAACATAACTTACATATTTAAAATTTTGTACACTTTGTAAATTTTATTTTTGTGGCCAGCTGAAATTACACGAGTATACATTTTTTATTAACGAAAGAACGAAAACAGTTTCAGAGAAAATGTTCACGGTAGAAAGTACAATACGTCTGCGTTATAACATCAGGGTAATGGAACGATGTATTTCACCGTGAAATGCTCGCAATATAATCTGTCCGGTGCAAATTGTTAAATTAATTAGAAGTCCCTTTGATGAAACGCGTGTCGCGAAAATTCATGTCTGGCCCCGGGTCTCGTCTGCACGTTCGATCCAATTTTTTTTTTTATTTCCGTCATCTGCCCCGTATCTCGACGCAGAATGAAATCTGCACCGGGCGTCTGTGACGTCCGATACGAACAGTCGCGTAGAAATAATGATGCTGCACGAATCTACCGAGTAAATGAAACTTTCAGAACACGGCCCTTTGCCATTGAACTACGAGGAAACTGCTTGCTCCTTTTGTACGGGCTCGACGAGTTCGGTTGTACTGAATGAGTAGTGGAATTGTTCTCGTTACCTCTTTCACGATCAAATTTACCTAGGTGTTTTAACATATGTTTTATTACTGAAATAGTGGCGGAATAGACTTCTTTTATGTTTCAAATTTTTTTAGATGAGTCTTGATGATTTTTTGAGAGGTTTGCTTTTAAATTACGATGTTGGTAAGGATGAGATGTTTTTGTTATTAAACGTTTCGCAGTTAGTTGTTCTTTCTGAGGGAAAGACTGTGATGATTATAGAATGATTCAGGTTTATAAGATAGGATAATTACATCCTTTATAGTTCTAACACAACTGTATTAAGGATTGTAAATTTTCTAAACTTGGTTGTTCCTTCCGATAGAAAGTCTATTGAGGACTATAGGATAGGATAACTACATCCTCTATAGTTCTAACACAATTGTATTAAGGATTGTAAATTTACTAAGCTTGTTTGTTCCTTCTGATAGAAAGTCTATTGAGGACTATAGGATAATTCAGGACTATATGATACGATAACTATATAGGATAACTACATTCTTTATAGCTCTAACACAACTGTATTGAGTATAATAAATTTTCCAAATGTCGATTGAGGATCGCATATAATTTTCACGATTGTCCAAATGTAAGGATGTGTTGTAAATGATGCATCATTCACTCGTTGCGAAATCAATCGAATAGCCTCATCGATCTAATTGCAGACATCCTCTTCTTAATTGATTAATGGGAGATCTAGCGGCGTACAAGCAATCGTGGACGTTTTCAGAAGGAAAGCGGCATTTTAATTGAGATAAATACGTGTTAACTGTGCGCTGCTGAGATCACCGCTTCGAAAGCCAAGCATAATTACAAGCGGCTGCTTTGGCTGAAACCCGCGATAATATACAGGCTTTATCAAGAGGAGCGATCCGTGGATGATTATTATTAATTAGCTACAGACTCGTAACTACACGTTTCCCCGGCTCGAAATCCACTTCGAGATCTCCTCTCGTTATGTTGAGAATATATTTACTCTCGTCCGAGCATTAATCACGAAAATAACTGTCTAAGGAACTTGAAACCGAGAAACGAATCGGAGTCTTGATTATATTTGTCCAGCAGCTTCTTCTTGGGAGATAACGAACGGAAGAGAGAATAATCGCGGGTAGTAAATATAACACTGTTCAAAGTAATTCATTTAACGAAGTAATTCGTTTAATTTCACGCGTTACCGCTAACTGTTCAATAATTCCTGTATTAAGCATTTCAATTCTTCGTTAAGTTACTACTTTTCACGTGTCGTTCCACGTGAAACGCAATTAGGGTTTCGTGCAATAAATTTTATGATACCTGCTTTCAACTGGATCACACAAGAAATTTGAAGCACACGTATACGCGTACGTGATCAGTGATGGATTGAGCACCGTGTGCACGGTGCGTGCAGTGACAACCGGAGATCCACCGAGATTTCAAATGTAGAAATTTTTAGAAACTGGAAATTTGATAGTTTAAGAAGTAAGAAATTTAATTTGATGAATTGAGAAATTTGAGGGCTTTCAAATTGAGACACAGTCATGGGAGGAATAAATATAAAAGTTTAATAGCGAACTAAAATATTATTATTGCACAAGTAACGGTGAATTCGTGAATTTTCCATAAAGTTTATTAACGTCAGTATCGAGCAAACACGTCGCAAATCGATGCACCGGAGGACCGGTATGAAACGCATTAATTCTACGATTGCACGTAAAGTATCCGAGGTTGTCGCGTTTATTCGTCGAACTTATTAATTTATGTCACGTATCCAGGCGCCACGAGTTGAGTTACGATCCGCTCGCACGAAAGCACGCTCGCTATATCAAATCATTATACGGATAAAATACAAATATTATATCGTAATACAGGAGAAATCCAAACTGAATCGGTATTGCATAACCGTTATCGACTTCGTCTTTCCGATACGAGAATAGATCCGCCGCAAGGCGTGGCTCGAAAATGAATTTTGCATTTTAACACCGAAACGCAGTTCATATTTACTGACCGATCGAAAACAACGTTGCGCAATCGCGACAAATGGCGCGCATTTTGTCATAAAATATTCGCGAGAGCTTCGTGTGAATTTACGGCGTTGTACAACAATGTATGCGATGCAAAAGGGTGAATATCCTGCAAGGCACGTTCTCAGAATAATCGTTTGACCTGTCTACCGAAGATACTCGTTTTCCAATAATTCGAGCCGTGCACCGTGTAATTTATGATCGATCGCAGAGATTTTATTTTCGTAACGTAATTACGGTACGGCAGGTTGAGTGATGATTTAATAAGTTGGAAACTCGCGGTGAAAATTTTAGACGCAGTTTTTGCACACGTAATACTCGACAAACTTTACTGTACGTAATACTTTGTTAAATGTAATGTTAACTTGTATAAACCGAGCGTAATATCGTTTTGAACTACGCGCATGCGCTGTTTCGTCATTCCTAGGCGCGCGCTTTGCGCAAACGCGTGCGCAAACGTATGCGCAGACGGATGCGCAGACGTGTGCGCGGGAGTACGCGCGGAAGTGTTACGAAGCAAGCAGGTGTTAATCGTAAGTCGAATTATTGTTAGACACTTTTATCAACATCTAATCAATATTATTCTGTATTTACTATTAATAATCTACTTTACTGATATATTACATCTAATATATTGATAGTATATCGACAATTAACAGTGTAACTTCGAACGAATTGATCGATCAACTTCACGGTAGATCTTGGCGGTAAATCTCTCCAACATGGCGTCATTACTGTACACGAACCAGTTACCGTGAACTCCATAGTAAGTCCGCTACCTTGATTTTGTTCCATCTAAGAGTTGGTAAATAAAAAACGTTTCATACAAATGTAAAGAATTCGAATAAATTATTTCTAGGTTCCGTGAACCGCGGTTTCGTGAACCTCTAATACATAATAAGTGGCTCGCGTGCTTCAGCTAGCGGACATTGAACTTTGTAGGAAAACGTAAGAGTGACTCGAATAAGTTATTGGCTTCCGAATAACGATCGATCTAACCCGTGTATCTGTGTGTCTAGGGCTTCCAGCGTCCGCGGACCTGATTCGCCCCTCAGCTCGGAACTGACGCTCGACAAGCCTCGCCCCATACCATCACCCAGGTAAGCTTCTTTAACCCTTTTTTTCTCTCCTCACCTTTGAAACCGAATGAAAAAAGCCCGACCTCAATCTCGCGCGTAATAAACTCCGGGTTAATTGGAAAACTTGGCGAGAAAGTGTCCAAGGACTTTCTTTCTCACGGTCGAGGTTCCTCGTCCTCTGAAGGGCGTTGACCTATATTAAGGGGTCTCCATAGAATCTTTATAATACGCCTTAATTGAAAACGCTGATTCACCGAGTAGTCTTATTTGAACGGATGTTTTCAAGCGATTAATGTTTATAAAGGATGAGTTTATTGGTTGCGTTGGACTATATGTCTGGGTCAAATATGTATTGCTGTTTGTATATGGCGATGTTTGTATATGGGCACACATTACTACAGGACGTAAATTCCTAAAGTCTTAAATTATCAATCTCGAAATACTTAAATTCTTTTGTTAGCTTTGAACCTCAATGTACAAAAAATTGTACAGCACTAAAATTGGCTAATATTATTAAGAACTATTAAAGTCAATTTTCTAGATATAATAACCGCATGTAATATTATTCTGTTTTCAAGTTATTCCCGTTCTCGTTTCGCATCATGTATAATTTTGCATAATTTCGCTATCACCAGGATATCCGTGACATCGAATAGATTGAATTTAATTAGATTGTCGATGACAATAAAAATCGCGTCGTTACAGGAAGTTAATTATCCGTAAGTTGTCCCTGGTTCTTGTCAACTTTAATCTGTCCGTGGCCGCGTTCGAAGTGCTAATAAACCGTACATCCCGACGCGTGTTCGGAATCGTCTATTTTTATCCGTGCTCGTATGTTTCACCCTACCTGACGAGATTCACCCCTCGATGAAGTCTTGACGTTCGATAAGCCTGGCAACACAATAAACCATTCGCCGTGCACACTCCAACGCTTATTTTATTTCCTCATCGACACGTGGTATTTCGAGCCAGTCGATGGCGGACACCCCTACCCGTTGAACTCTTGTCACCTGACGAGATTCACCCCCGACTAAACCACTTATTATCGAACATCCACGCAGTAGTCCTTTGTTTTTTCACGCTACACCTCGTGTGTTTCACTTTGAACGCCCGAGGAAAATGCGTCGAGACGTAATTACCGCCAGTTTCACCGTCTAATTAAGATATGCTCACCATTTTCAAACACACGGATTCTAGAGACTCTTTCTTAAATATACTCTGCTGTGAAAAGTTAATACGTTTGACACTGATGTTTGAAATCAGACATCGAATAAATTGCACGGGATTTTGTGATACACTTTTGTGATACACTGTGTACACTAGTTGTAAAACACCCTTATAAAAATTCAAAATTAATTGCAAAATAAAAACATACGATTCAAAGCATGCGACGATCGATATGATTTGCACGTAAATGCAAAGTTAGAAAATGCATTAAAAACGCAGGTGTAATAACAGTACATTTGCAGCGAAGTTTGCATGCATTACACGGTCATTTATCTCGTTTTCTTCGTGAAATTTCCATAAATTTTCGACGTGATTCACTGCAGTAAATTGCGTACGGAGCAATTGCTCTTCGGGGTTCACCAAAATCACCGAACACCGTTTCCATATTTTCGATAACGCAAAACCGGTTGGTAATTTGATGGACCGTGGTCGAACAAACATTATCCCGAAATTCTCTTCGAAATAGTTCGACCAGTCCTTTCGCGTACTTGCATCGTTCGCATACTTGTTCCGCTATTTCTGTTCATCAATTTCAACTAGCTCCGCAAGCAGGTCACGTGTAAAATAGTTTGGTCACACACTGCAGTTCGCTGCTTCAAAATTGGAAAGTTTTCACATTGTCCGGGTGAAGTTATTAATCATTGAACAAAACAGATGCTTGGATATTAACGGAAGGGGGTTCTATTCATTATTGGATTCGATGAGTAGACTAAAGAGGAGATTAAAAATTTCGTAACCTTCAGGTCCTAAAATCTGAAACTTCCAAATTTCCAAAATACCAAAATCCAAGTATTTTAATATTAAAAAATTTCAAGTTGGTAAGCGTTTGTGGCCTCTGAATATTTTCATACAGCCCTGCAAACGTCCTCGTCGTATTTGACCGGTTTCGTTTTCATGGAGATATATTTCGCGATAAAATTATCAAGCGAGGAATATTTGACGAAAGAAATTTCATTTAACGGACACATTCGTGTCTCGTTCAATCAAAATTATTGTCACCAGAAACGGGATAGAGAGTTTGAATTTAAATTAATATTTTTACGATCGGCTCTCGTAAAATTTTCGCTGATATAAGAGAACGAAATTGCGAGAAGAGAACAAAGATAACCGCGGTTTCGTGCCGCGTATAAACTGTCCGCATAAAAATAAATGTCCTGTTGCCTAATAAACATCAAATTTATAGCTTTGCTTGAATTTTTCGTCGATCTATTGCAAACACGAATCAACGCATTTTATTACGGTACATTTTACTACCATCAAGCTTTATACAAATTTTTGTATCTCTGTGTTATAATACACTTCATACATATTTTTTAATCGTATACATTTACTGTGCGTCATATATCTTTTTAAAAAAGTTCCTATTAATTTTATAACCTTTGAAGCTCATCATCGGTGTTAGGAAGGGCTTCAAGCAAAATTTAATATCATAACGAGATTGAATCTCCTGAATCAGCGAGTGAGAAGCTTGATATTTTCTCGCAGCTGGGGCTCTAAGCTGAAGTTATTGTGCTGCGTAATTATTGATTTTATGGCAACCGTGAACAGCACGTTTCATAGTTGGTTAAAATCACGAAGTTCTGAAGTCTTGAAGTTTGAAAATTATGAAGTCTCAATATTCAGTGTTTCAATATACGTCTCAATCTTCAACCTTCGTTCTGAAGTTTCAAAGTTCTGAGACCTCAAAGTTTTATAGTTTAAGAGCTTCCTGAATCTCGAAGTCCAAGGTTTAAAATTTAAAGTCTCAATTCAGAATAAGTTCTGAAGTCCCAAATTTCCAAAGATTTAAAATTAAAAAATCCCTCAGACCCAACATCCAATGTCATTAAACTCTAAAGTCCCAAATTTCCAGAATTAAAAAATTTAATAATTCCTGAAGTCCAACCGGATATCCGCCTATCCTCAACAAAATAGCGATTGCATTACCCTAGAGTACTCCTACAGTGCTACCTACAACGCATTGTGTATCGATGCAGGCTGCAACAAAAGGATTATAGGTCTCAGTATTTTATGAACAAACTTTTATCTAGCATTCATATTCGCAACTAGAGTCTGCGAGTCGTAAACGATTCAGCTGTCAATCACTATATCTATTAACTGCGGAATAAGGCTTACAGATGTGGCTGACCGCGCGGATGCTCGATATCGTTTTAGAAATCGATGCTCCATTAGTCGATCGCTTTGTGTTTCCGTCAGAGTTACATACTGAGGAGATCCTTGCGTTCGATAGGTAAATGCAGCCGGAACGTAATCGGTCATCGGTAGCAGCCGCGAATAATGAAGGAACGTTTTGCCACGCTAAGTTGATCGGTCTAAGTCGGCCACTTTTCCGGTTGCTCAACGTTGTGGTCCATTAAAATGCGCGTGCAAAGAGCACGTAATGTATTATACGATGTCAGAGTTCCTTCAAGAATGCCACTCGTATCCGTGAGAATCGAAGCTATTAGAATCTGAAAGACATTTTTATTCGAGACGTCAGAGGGCGGCTAATAATATCTTACTGTTCCATGGCCGTTTCATAATCTTTATAGTATCTCGGAAAAGTAACGTAACTTTTTAAATTTAAGGAAAACGTGCCATCTATTAAAACATGTTATCTGAAAACAGTATACCTCCCCTACAAAACCTCCCCTTATTTTTCCGATATACTGTGTGCGCGCTCGTTATGTACCAAACAAATCGGCGACACAGGAAATAAAATATCGTGGAGTTTATCAATTTAGGTTGGTCTTTATTTAGCGGATGGAAGTGGCTGTTACATAAGCGATAGGGCTGGGCCAACTTTGACCTCGATCTAGAAAGTTTACGAGCTGTTCACTTTACCTAATTAAAAATATGATTGTAGTTACTCGTTAATGCTGCAATAGATTAACTCGTTACGAAACTTCAACCTGGAAAATTAATGTGTACTAAATTCGACGGCGTCAGCTTGCCGGATATACCGTGCTTTGGGGAAATACGTGCTGTTTTATCCTAGTTTTACGGGACGCAAATATTAAAAAGTTTAGCTTCAGAATTCGTTTGATTAACTTTCATGTACTTTTAATAAAAATTTGACAATAATTGTACTATTTATTTTAACAGATTTTTTGGTGAGGAGTTTGTATAGGGTGACATTTATAATCACTCTTGGTACTTATTAGAAGTACTGAGATTTTAATATTTTAGTAGGAAATCATTCTTTGTACTCTTGATAAATATAACACTTGACAAATATATTATAAAAATGACTCGATAAATTAATTTTTCATTCAAAGCCATGCTTAAGCACCATGAAGTATCTCTTCACAAAATTTTAGTCGACAGACATTGTTCATTAAAAAGTATACCAAGATTTCTATAACAATGTAATAATGAAGTTAGTTATTTATTCTAAACCTTATTTACCTCTGTACATAATTAGCAAAATTTTACTTTGAAAATCAACACTCATAACAGTCTAATACAAACTCCAAAACGAATAGACTTTTCCAGTAACAAAATAACACTGCTATCAAGTTGAGGACATATTTAATATTATAAAAAGAAGGGTACTTGGTGTTAATGTTAATTCAGTATGTGGCATGCAGTCGTCATACACAGTCGTAGAGTACTAAAACGAAAGTTAGGAAACGTTTTTGCTTGGTCGCGTTCGCGTTACAAAAGGGTCGAAAAAAGCGTGAATCGGATGAAACTTTTTTGGTCTTAATGGCGAGCGTCTGCCGTGAAAATTCAACTAGCGGTAATGCAATTTCCTCCGTGTCGTTTTTGCTTCATCGGCCACCGTCGCTTTTAATTCGTCGTGACCACATCAAGAAGGCTTCTCCGCGGTGTAATGGCTGATTCTGCCTTCCATATTTTCAATCTCGTTTTTATTCATTAATTCCGCAAATTGTACGCGCTCCGTTCATACAAACGTTACGAGCCTTCATCGTTCAGTATCGTTTCGACGAATATCGTGAACAAATTCCGAGACTCAAGGGCAAGGTAATTCTTTTCATTGAAAATTTGTATGGGCTTTATTATTATTAATTCGATTTTGTTCGTGTTATCGTTACTTTCAAATTTAAAATATTAATGTGTTTTGATTTTTGTATTATGGGGAGTAGTAACTTTTTAAATTTCTAAATTCCTAATTTCCAAATTTCCAAATTTCTAAATTCCCAAATTTCTAAATTCTCAAATTCCCGAATTTCCAAATTTTCAAATTTCCAAATTTCTAAATTCCCTAATTCCCAAATTTCCAAATTTCCAAATTCCCTAATTCCCTAATTCTCAAATTTTCACATTTCTAAATTCCCTAATTCCCAAATTTCCAAATTTCCAAATTCCCTAATTCCCAAATTTCTGAATTCCCTAATTCCCAAATTTCCAAATTTCCAAATTTCTGAATTCCCAAATTTCTGAATTCCCAAATTTCCGAATTTCCAAATTTCCAAATTCTCAAATTCCCAAATTCCCTAATTCCCAAATTCCCAAATTTTCAAATTTCCAAATTTCCAAATTTCCAAATTTCCAAATTCCCAAATTCCCAAATTCCCAAATTCCCAAATTCCCAAATTCCCAAATTCCCAAATTCCCAAATTCCCAAATTCCCAAATTTCCAAATTCCCAAATTCCCAAATTCCCAAATTCCCAAATTCCCAAATTCCCTACATCCCCAAAATCTCTATATCCCCAAATCCCCAAATTTCCAAATTTTGGCGTCTGGAAAAAATTACACAATATATGAAAACACATGTCCTTGTGTTCGTCGTCCGACAACGCCAGACTTTACCCGAAGCCGACCTGAAGCTCAAATACACGTTACACCAAGCAATTTGCACACCTGCGTATTAACAATAATTTATATTTTCATATCCGTATGATATTGGATCATCGAAGGTGCAAAAACAAATTTCCCTTCTACCACCGTTTGCGAAACGAGGTAAAAAGCATTGATTAAATGTAAATTGCTTTATAATTCCGTTACTTCGTGACCCGTTTTACCGATAAACAGTTTCCAATCGAAAAGCTGTTTCCACCCCTTAATAAATTCGCTTTGTCGTCCATCAAAATTTCTGATGCATACTGATTATCCTCGTGAATTTCAATGAATTCACCACTGCTATTTTCGATCTCTGAACGTAAATGCCTTGTTCAGCATCTGTGCAAGTACTGTGTGCTTCGATATAAACAAAAACTTTTGGGTCAAAGCTATTTTCATTGTTCGTTTTATTTTGGTGAATGTACCTTGGAATAGTTTTGGGTTAATTGACTATTATAGTTAAATAAATTATGATAAAATGACTCTACGTATACTTCAACTAGTCCATAATGTAAATATGATAATAGAACAATAAAAGTTGAATGATTAATAGAAGAATAAGCTAAAATTTGTATAGATCTCAGTTTTTACTCAGACCATGTTATTGTTTATTAAAAGAGCTACGACCTCCTTATGAGCCTATAAGCCATGCAAGAAAAAATTAGAAAACATGATTAGTGTGTACATATGTATAAGAATGAGTCTATAATATTTGTATAGTAGTGGTCATTCAATTTCATATTTACAAAAGCTCCCCGACAGGACTCCATCTATAATCGCAACCCTAACATTCGTACGTTCTTATCGACTGTTGCAGACAAATTCATCCCCTTTACGGCGAGAAAGCTGGCCTTCTGGGGTACTGCGACCCCGTCGGTAACGTAGAAAATTTTCCACCAGCCCCTAATATCGTCGTCGAGGGTGGCAGAATCGAGTTTGTGCGCCCCTCGCAGGATGGCACCACAACACCCCGAAGGAACACCATGTCCCGAGGCTCGCAGACCTTCAGCGACGAGTCCGAGAAGTCTGATCCTGCGAAGGTAAGTCGAGTTTTTCTTTTTCCATCGGTTGTTCAACCTCCAGGCTGTGTTTACTTAGACCTTGCCTGTTTACACGCGCCTGGACAGACTGGACTGCCGCTTGCTTTTCTGTCTACAGAGACCACCACCGAATTTATTTCTTTCGGGTAAATAAAACGAAGAAATCTCGGTTGGATAAATAGTCCCTAGGGACTCGTGTTTGGTTTCGCGTCTTTGAAACCGTTTTGGGTAGTTGGAGCCTTGTTCGAACGAGACCGATTATCTGTTCAAACATTTATTGTTCTTTAATGGGGTGGAGGGTTTTTTTGTTCTTTAATGGGGTGGAGAAAATTGGGGAAATATACTGTATAGAAAAATTACTTTATCATGTCACTGATTTTACATAGATTTATTGATTTTAGCTGAACTTGAAATATTTTGCTGAATTTGATAAAGAAAGGAATAAACGCCTTAGAAATTCTTTAGTGTCTATTGACAATTCGATTTTTAATCTAAAGGACTTTGCAATAGTAAATTGCAGTATGATTAAAATAAAATACAACTGACAGTTCAGAATTTCTAACGAATTTAAAGATATTTACGAAGAATTCATAATACAGTCAATCTGTCCGATAAACGTTTCCATGCTCCGTGATTTTTAATTGATAGTACGTCAACGTCCTCTAACACGATTTTCCGGTATTTGCATTTTAACAAATCACGTTTGTTCAACCCGTTCGACGACGAATTCAATTACTTGCGTTCTTTAAACCCTTCATGTTGTATTCATTAGACGTAACCATAATTGAATAAGTCGTAACGTGTGAAGTACCTTAAACACCGTCAGCTTTGCTAGTGGGACTGTAATCGAGGCAGCTCGTTAGCTTTTGGCTAAAATATTTCGTTGAATTTTCTTGTTTTTTTTTCGAATTTTTTGTTTGACGTTCCTTTCAACTCTCAACTGACAACGCACGATAATTATAGTATGCTTTCTTCGTTTCGACAAAGCCTATTCAGTGGCTGGAGAATTTTTCCCCGCGTTCATTACGTATTTCTTTCTTCGCACCCTTGTCATTAAGACGTTTTAGCAGCACCGGTTGAACACCAATCTTCGTCAAATTCTATTGACGAGAATTTCTTGTTGTATTGCACGCTTTTGGATTCGTCGATCTCTCTGCCATTTTTAAGCGTTTAAATTCCTTCTTTCAATAAATCTTCTGTTTGCTATTTGGAAATTTTTTTATTTCAGATATGGCAACTTCGTAATTTAGGAGCTAACAAAATTTGGAATTAAGTTATTTGAAAATTTTGAAACTTTGATATCAGTTCATTTGAAAATTGTAGAATCAGGTCATCCTCAAGTTTAGATGTTTCGAAGTTACATTTAGAAGTTCAAAAATTGTATAATTACCTAATTCAAAACATTGAAGGCACAGAAATTTTGAAAGGTATTTCACATCTTCCTAACCCTTTCAACTCCTAATTCAAGTTAAAAGAATGACGTGTACATCAGCGTCTGTGACTTCATTGATTAGAGAGATTTAATAAAACCGTTGAGTATAAAGTCTGTTGCGGTTTAGGGCACGTCCATAAATCGTGTTCGACGACCTCGAAATTTTCACCCCGGTAAACGTTACTCGAACGAGGGAAAAGTGCGCGCAGATTCCTGCCGAACCCTTTAACCCTTCATGTTGTATTCATTAGACGTAATTGATTTTCTCGATAGGGCGTTGCAGGATTTCCATATTAAATTGGAGCGCGCGAGCTTTCGTTGTCGCCTGGTGCGTCGATACGCGACAATTATCCTGAAATTAACGACGTCTCGCGTCGTGTCGCGCCTCCGACGCCGGTAATTCTAACGATTTAACTCCTTGTTCCTGTTTATTCCTTCGTTTCGCCTTGTTTGAGGTCAATTGCTGCTATTATAGACGAAACATCGAGCTGTAACCTTAACTATCAGCAATTATAACCGAAGTGCTATAATTATTTTACTATAAAGCTGTGTTGATCAGGGTTTCGAAAAACGGGTGACTGAGGATACAATGATGTTAATTAGAAAATCTCGTGTGTGTTTGCTGTACAATTTTGTTGTATTTATTATGAAATATTTTAAAATTTAACCCTTTGTAGTTGGACGTGTTTTTGTTGATGATAGATGACTACTTTAAAACCTTTCGGTTGAAGAGTTTGATGAATTCTATAGATGTTATTATTTCTCTATTATCGATTTTTAATGTTGTCTGCTTTACTGTTTATACAGCACATGTACAGCATTATAGATGCAGTCAAGAAATAATAATTTCAGAATGTTGCATTAAATCGGGAGGTTATTGTCACCTTTGAAGTGCAAAGGGTTAACATGGTATAATATGAAATTTTAACAGGGTGTAATATAAAAATTCCACAGAGTCTAACATGAACCTAACCTAACCTAACACAGTCTAACATAAACCTAACATAACCTAACACAGTCTACTATAAAAATATAACAAGTCGTAATATAAAAATTCAACACAATCTAACATAAATAAGGGTGTGACATAAAAATCTAGTGCAATATGACATAAAAATGTAAGAGGTTACAAACATTGTAATCTTCCCGCAAATTTTATAGCAAGACTATTAATTCGACGGTAGAAAGGCAATGCCTCGTTCCAATGGTTTATCCTTCATGAAAAGTATTAAACTCCTTCGAGGTGTCGTCATAGAACATTTGCATGTGATTAATCAACCGTCCTTCCCTTTCGAGCTCGTTCAACCGGACGAAAAGTCACGTTAACGAGCGTATTATGCCGAATTTTTACCGTTGGAGGAGAGATTAGGGGACTCCCAAAAATTTCCACTGTATGAAGAACGCGTAATTTTCGACCAGGGTGCTCTTTAATTATTTCGGTCGGGTCTAACGTATGGGTGGGTGAAAAATTTCATTTTGGCATGCTTAGAGTTTCTAGTAATTTTGAGGTTCCCATTGGTTAATAATATTTTTTCTTTTTTTTTAGTAAAAAGTCAATGATCATTATTAACATATTATGATGGGTAAAGTTAATGACATCATTTTTAGTGAAGTCAAAAATATTATCCCTATGGTGCAGTAATAGTTTTCGGTAATTTTGTAGGGATTGTTAAATCAAATTAGAATGTGTGTTTGTTATTCACCCCTTACTCTATGACTTGTCAGGTGCGTTAGTCAGTCACTGACTACTCACAGCTGCAATATTAAAACAAACAAGGAAAATCATAATATTATGTCAATGTGATATTATATAATCGTTGACCATGTAAACTATATATACAATAATGCAATACCATGGAATAATTGTACTTGAACTTCAAAATGGCAGCGTATACCAAATCCGAGTAAAATTGATCGCCCCTAAAACACGAATGTGTCCAACTCAAAATAATCCAAGAGTCCAAATGAATCGATCAAAATTTTCCGCAAAATCTTTCTTTAAAAGGAAGTAAATCACAGCGCAGAATTAACTAATTTTTTACATACAACCACAGAATAATTATCCGCAGAACTTTGCGAACGTATTCATTTTAATTATGAACAATGGTTGCGTGCTCGAGTTAAATAAAGATACATAAAATAGAGGAACGCGACTGAAATTCATGCAGGAATACTTTTTCAGCTTACTCTTATATTATTTCGTAATTACCATGTTCGCTATTATCTCGAATTGCGAGCCAACAGTCGTGCACACAAAGCGAATTAAATCGCGTAACGTTTACTTTTAACCCGCTCGTGTATTCTTTTCCCGTTTCGTGTAAATTTCATATGTGTTACGTTGACTTGTCGAAGTTTCCGTATTTGCGAGGGAAAATAATTAATCGTTTTGCGTTTGCGAAGCGGGAATAATTAAACGACGTTTTCGGCGACAGTTCATCTACCACCTTCTTGTCAAATACACGCTTACATTTTTCTCTTCAGGGCTGAAATTTTCCCGTATTCTCTTTTCATGCTTTTTAATTTCTGCGTTCTTGTTTGCTTTCTTTTCACATTTTTGACTTCACGTTTTACAATTTTTTTTCTGCTGTAATTTCATCTCTCTGGGGTTGTCAAAGTGGGATTTAGTGGGCAACGTTTTTTAGACTTCAAGGCATAATAAATAGGTGGAATGATGATGGTTTATTTGTAGTATTTTTAGAGACTTCGTAGGAAATATTTGATGAAGATCGTTTTGAACAAAATATCAAGGTCATCGAAGTTTGGCAAAATTTAATAAATGATAACTGAAGTCAAAATGAATCCAATGATCTTTGACTCGATCTATACCCAACAATTTGCTGATAAAAATAAATAAATACAACTACAACAGAAAAATGAACTCAGACTTTACTCAAGGTTACAGAAAGGTCATACCATTCCTCACATTTCTATTCATTCCAATTATTATCCCCACTAAAAGTAATCGTCAACAAACTCAAACCTTCGAAAACCCCTTCAAAAGTTCATCAACCACAATTTTGATCAATGGACCATTTGCGACCATTTTCAGCAACAGCGTGTCAACGTGGTTCGAATTCATCTCATTTCTCATTCACGTCGACACTCCACGAACCAAAATGCAATCCACAGGCTTTTTAGGGTTAAATAGCATTAGTAAAAAGCAAGTGATTCTAACGAATCGAGGGTTCGTTGGGTCAATACAAAACCGGCGACTACTTTCTGGCACGCGCGTCGCCGTTACGAATAATAATTAATCGCGGCAGGAGAGTTGATTATGGCCCTATTCATCCGGTGGAACCGTTATAAATCACAGTGGACAGAACCTAGATTGTTCCTACGCGATCGCTACGACAATGTTGAGTAAGCGAAATTTCGTGACGTCGCTTTTGTCGAGCAGCTGTTTCGCGTCTTTTCAGCTCTCGCAGAGAAAGCTTGGGAAGCTGTCAATCATGTGTGATGGTCTTTAAGTCAATTCTGGTCCAAAATATTTGCTAGCATTAGAATTGGTTTCAAGCTTCACGGTTTATGTTAAAATATTTTGTTTGCAAAATTACCTAAGTGTCCAAAC